CTACAGCTCATCAACGAAGAATGGTTCGATCCATAGTTCCATCAAAATTAGGTTTCCGGGAAACCAAATAGCACAGTTCCTGGGCCATGCCTGTCCCCGCCACCCACAGGCCTGCGAGACAGAGACATTCTTAGGCTTTGATGTGCTGCAGGGAGGAAGAGGAAATGTTCCATCCTGCCACTGCACATATGGGGCGCTCTGCTGCAGAAGGCACAGCCGCTCCAGTTCTCCCCCTGGCTAGGCTCTAGGGGCAGCCACCGCTGTCTGCCAATGGGGAAAAGCCACAAGTGGTCCAACCTCATTCAAAGGAAAAGGCTGCATTTCCTCATACATGAAACACCAGCCTTGGAATGAGGAATGTGGGTTCCAAACTGTCCCTGCCTTATTTACCACCACAGGACGGATAATGGTGTTGGCGAGGACCAGAGGGCGCGCTCCAGCACTGACAAGGCCAGAGGCGGCTTTGTAGGCACAGTTCTGATGCATTTGTTGCCCATTTACCCCAGCAAGAGGCAGAGAGTCAGCTTTGTCCCTGGGGAGAGAATCTTGGGTTCAGCCCCCACTGAAGCCCAGGTCCTGGGTGGCCCACACCCAGAAGGCCCACAGAAAACAGCCAGACAGCATGATCAGAGACGGACTCTGACTTCTCCTGGTTCTGTCCCTCTTGGCTCGGCCAGAAAGCCTACTAAGTACCTAGAAGCCACCGGTCCTAAGAACACCCAATTCGCCTCCAGGCGAACAGGGCAATTGTAGCTTTTACCAAGAAGCTTCCTGCCCTGTCCTCTCCTGCCTCTTCCCAGCTAGGCTTCCCCACAGGAGCCCTCAGGATGTGCACGACTCCTACAGAAGCTAATAAGGAACATCCCAGCTCCCTAACAAGGCATTCTGAGTCTGGGAGACATCCCCTTCCCCAAGCAGATGTGTCTCTCTTCTGCCTAACCAATTCCACATCTTGTCCACAAAGCTAGTTCATTGTAGAACACAGCTGGGAGTCCCAAGACCCTACAGGCAGTACAGAAGCAGGAAGCAGAAGAGGCCCTGAGAGATACCTGGAGGCCAGCTGGTCCTTGCTTCTCTGCTCTGTCATCCTGCAGCTGGGTCATGGCCCCAAGGAAGCTGGGTGTCAGCCACAAAGACATCTGGGATAGTCACTGTCCCAAACACACACCACCACCTAGTTCATCCTGGGCTCAACAGTCCATCAAGTAGCCATCAGGTGGGCATTGGGCCCATCTTTGACTGACCGGCAACCAAAATCTGCTTCCTCACCCAACCTCAGCCTGCTGACATCAAAAAGACAGGAGATCCAAACACCCATCGTCACCAGGCAGTGGTGGCCCACACCTTTAATCCCAGCAGTCACACAGGCAGATCTCCGTGAGTTCAAAGTCAGCCTGATCTACAGAGTTAGTAGCAGCTAGGGCTGCTACACAGAGAAACCCTGTCTCAAAAATCAGAAACAAAACAAAACCCAAAAAAATAAAAACATTCTTTGCCCCCCTCCCTCCACCCCCTACCCCTCGCCATCCAAAGCTCTTGGACAGACCCTGAGTTCTCCACTCCACCTATCCTCCCTCCTCCTTGGCACTGTGGTCAGCCTGTTCTTGCCATCATCTCTCTTCCTGCTCCAAGCAGTCTGTAGTCAAATACTTCCTTTGGTCATCAACACCTTCTCACCAGACTCCTAGCTCTGATCCATCCTATAAGGTCCCAGTAAGGCTGGTTCCCTAGTATGGCAGGTAGGGAAGGAAGAGTAGGGTAACCCCACCTCCTAGAGAAAGTTGCAGAATTGTGGCTTTGCCTATGGCATTCACATGTGACCCCTCAATGCTAGCCACTGGGAGATACACAGATCTTCTGCTAGGCTATCGTTTCTGTCCAGAAAGGTTTGGAGGGCTGCTGGTCATTTTCACAGGATACAGAGATCCCGGAGACAGGAGCCTTGAGCTACACTTGGGTGAGAAGGGCTGCCTCCCACACCCCTAGCTTTAAGACAAAATAGGCACTCCTTGGATGGCATGCTTGTTGGGGAAGTGTCAAGATTACAAGGGTGACAACGGATGTACCAGATGGTGCCGAGGATAAAGCGGAGATGGGGGGGGGGGTAAGTGACTGGCTGGGAAGAATGCCAAGCATGAAGCAGCCTCACGTTTCTTCCCTCTCCCCCGCATCTTCTCTTTGCCCGGGCCCTACTGGGTCCCTCACCTAGGAGTCTGAACCTTGCTCCATTGCAGACAGGAGAGTCCCAGGAGCTGGTCAGAGCAGGAGGGGAGTGAGCCTCAGAGTCCGAGACCAAGAAGCAAGAGAGGGACCTGAAGAGTGTGGCAGGAGTCTGACTGCCCAAGTAGAGCAAGAGATGACTGAACCTACTCAGGGCTGACCCCACCAACCTACACAACAGCCATCAACCTAAGCCCATGAGCTGACCAATCAGAGGTCAAAGATGCGGGGCCAGCAAGATGGCTGTGGGTAAGCTCATCTGCTGTCACACCCACCTGACAGCCTGAATTCCATTCCCAGGCCCCACATGGTGAGAGACTCTGAAAATTGTCCTCCAACCTCCACGTTCACACTTACATACATGCATACATACACAGATGCACAGAACAAGTAAAATATAATAAAGATAGGCCTATGATGTGTACAGCATGCTGGGAAAAGTGGGTCAAGATACCAACACACCTCCATCTCAAAGTACATCGCTGCGTGTTCATTTTTTTTTCAGGCAGCACTGGGGTTTGAACCCAGGGTTTCCTACACAAGTAAGCTCTCCACCCCTGAGCTACAGCCCAAACCCTTCTATGTGATCTTGTAAGTTCCAAACTAAGACAGTTTTCAGGTCCTCAAAGGGCTGCTCTGAGCACCTTTGCACAAGCCAAAGGGGGCAGTGGATATCTGTCACAGAAGCATCAAACCTGGGCCACAGCAACACCAAACCTTGCAGCTGGAGAAATATCCAAGCACGTCTCCAATAAGCTGGAGACTACAGTTAACCTTCAAAAAGGTCTTTAAGGAATCAGAATGGTTGTGCACAAGATAAGGGAGGAAATTACCTTCCCAAGATGACAAGGTAGGGAAGAAAGAGACCAGACGTCTAAATTCCGGCCAAACTCCACCCAGTATCTCCACCCAAATTCAAACCCGTCCAAGTCCTCCCAGGAGGCTGAGGGCCCAGAGTGCAGAGGGCGGGGGAGGCATCCATCCCTCTGGCGTAACCAACATGCTACGCGCAAGGTCCCAGAATTCCAGCATTACAGCTGCACTGAGTCTGTCCCTCCCTGGGCTCTGGCTCACCCTGGGGATGGGAAGACTTCCCACAGAAATGATCCAAAAGCAAACAGAGGCAAGGTCCTCCCAAGCCACAGCTGCACAGTGCCGACACGCAGCTGACCCTCTGCGCATCGTCTCTGCCACCAGGCAAACGCATTCCCCACGGCATCTCACACACGGTATTTACTGAGTCCTTATCATGAAGCGCCTCACCTGCATTCCTTCACAGACGCCACACAGCTCTGAGGGAGACAAAAGTTTCTCTTGCTGTATAGACGGGGAACACTGAGGGTTAAAGAGTTTGCCAGAGGTCCCATGACCAACAAGTAGCATTTCAAGGAATCCTCTCAGGCCACTGATTCCAGTTGTTCTACCCTTACTCTCTTCTGTGCAAGACCAACTGTTAGACAAGCCTCTGACCTCAAAACAAACCCAGACATAACCTTCCGGTCAGCCAGGCACAGAAAATACAGCAGGCAGACACACACATCTTTTGGTCTCCATCGACTGGGCAGGTTTATAAGGACTCGGCTGTTTTCCTGAAGTACATAAATTCCATTTTACAGCCACAGGACTGAAGTGGATCTTGGGTTTGGCCCAGCCTGTGCAGATTCCCCAAGGAGTCAAACTTACTTAACAGACACACAGCCCCCCTCTCCAGGGGGCACAGAACACACCAGGCTACACATTATGAAACCAAGATCTCTTGTTTTATTATACATATTCCCCCAAACCAACAAATGTATTTTCAGATTAAAGAAGAAATTTGCATATATAAATTCGGATGACAGTATTTATAGCATAATTACATAAGTCTTGGCTCCCTTATTTAGCCCCAGAACCAATTCGTTATCGGTCACACATTCAGAATTCTCCCTCCCTCCAACAGCCCTGGGCCCTCTTCCACCTCCTCCCTCCCTTCCCCTCCTCCTCTTCCAGCCGACCAGGGCCTCACATGCTGGCAAAGGGACACAGCTTCCTTCACTGTCACAGCCTAGCCTCCAGACACACCCAAATCCAGCCTTAGACACCGAGAGGGCGCAGACAACCCCCAAAGGCCTCCCTCCGCGAGCTATGGCCTGGCTCAGGTCCACAGACACCCCTGTTAGGACCACCAAGAGACGTCAGCCCGGACGAAGACATTCCCTGACTGGGGCCCAAGCAAACACTCAATGGTTTGGATCTGGAATCACTTCAGCTCCTGAGAATGGCTGCCGCAGACCCAGAGCCTGCCACTGAGGCCCTGGACCTGTCTGGAGTTGCACCCAGGATCCTGGCTCCTGGGGGGTAGTGAAGGAGATGAGCAGCAGGCCTGGGCTCTTCAGGACCAAAGTCTGCAACTCCCCTGAGCTCTTTCCGGAGTGTGTGTGTGTGTTAGGGGGCGGGGGGATCTCTGGATCTCTGGGGCTCCATCCTTACTCTTTGCACCCTGCTAACAGCACCTGCGCGGCTAAGTCAAGTCCCCAAAAGTGCAGGAACGCCCTGGGGAAGGAGAGTCAGGGGCGTCCGGGATCCTCCCCTTTGGACACGAGTCTGTCTTCACACCTGCCCAGAGCCGCCCAAGTCTTGGCTTCTTCCCGCGAAAAGGCGCTTACGTCGCGCGAAGCCCGACACGCCGAGACCCCCCTCCCGGGGTTGGCTCCGGGGTCCCTGGGTTCGACGTCCCGCCGCGCGGTGCTGACAGCCTGCCTCGCGCCCCCTCCCGCGCCCCCGCGCGCCGCGGGACTCACCGAGATGCGTTCCAGATCAGTGGCCGCCATGGCGAGCAGCGCACCGGGCGGGCGGGTGGACGGGCGGGCTGCGGGGAGCGCCGGGGCCGCGGAGGGGGCGAGCCGGCTGCGGGACGCGCTCCGCCCGGGCGGCTGCGGCTGAATGGATCCAATATGGCCACTTCCTGGAAACTCCCCTTGGCGGCGGCGGCGGGAGAAGCCGCGGAGCGGGCCCCGCCCCCGCCCGCGGGACCGGCCTCCCTACCCCGCTCAACCCCAGCGCAGCAAGCTCCCGGTAGCTGGAACCCACCGGGGGTCTCCGCGGCCGGGCGGGAGGTACTAGCTGCGGGTGCTGCTGGGACTTGTAGTCCGCGAGGTGGGGGGCCCGGACTGCCACGTCTGGGGGACCCGGGGCGCCTCCCGAGGCCTGCTGCTTGTGGCTGGGAAGCTAGGTCAGTGCACAGCACAGAGAGGTGCTGCATGCGCCCTGGGGGCCCCGCCTCCAAGCTGACTGTCCTTGCTGGAACCTGCAAATGCACTAAGACCACCAGCCTAAGGGTTCTTGTTCTACAGGTCCGGGCTGAGGCCCCCTCAGCCTCTTCTGCCTATACCGTGGGCCCTACCTGATGCTCTAAGCCTGAGCTAGGGCGGGAACCCCAGACTGGACCGGTGAGTCCGGCCAGGCAGCCTTTGGCTCCTTGCGCAATGATGAACCGGAGAAAGATGCACAGTTTGGGAAGCGGAGCTTCACCATCTACGTAGAATATTGCTAGTGATCCTCACCCTGCCTGTCCTGCGAGTTTGGAGTTCTGTCATTATGAAGATAGGGCCTTGGCTCGTTCTCATGGCATGCACATCTTCTTTCCCAACCTTACCATTCAAAAAACGTGCACAAACGTCTCCACGGGCTCGGTAGTCTTTTCCAGTGACTATACATGATCCAGCTCTCCCCAACTCCTCCTTTCCCCGCCTGCCTCTCTGGTCTCACTGATAGTAAGGCAAGGTTTGCCTCTGTCCCTCCACTTCCTGCGAATATCCAACCCCACCTCCAATATCTTGAAAAATATCCCTGTTCTCTCACTGACTGGAAACTTGTGCCTGCTGGAGGTATCTGGAGCCCATATCTGGTCTTGGCACACCCCATGCTGTAGAACACTTCCTACCCCCTCCATAACTGTGGTACCATTCACCTCCTCTCCCTGAAGTAGCTTTTCCCTTCTTTCTTTACTGATGGTGGCTTGCCTCCAAGGTGAACTGGCATCTCACCCAGCTGGACCTTACGATGTTTTCTTTTGCTGTATGCTCTTGCATGCTGTTGTTTCTTGTACATTTCCACGACAAGAAATGGGACGGGGCTACAACTCAGTTGGTAGAGTGCTTGCTTGCCTGGCATGCAGGAAGCCCTGAAGTCTGTCCCCCAAACTGCATAAGCCACACGTGACAGGGCACATCTATAATCCTAGCATCTGGGAGGTAGGCGCAGGAAAATTCAGAGTTCAAGGTCATCCTCCGCCACAACAAATTCGAGGCCAGCCTGAATACCTGAGACTGTCCAAAACAACAGAAGGTGCAGCCCAGTGGTTAGAGTGGAGAGGTGGATTGCTGGCACACTTTGAATCACACCCCAGCCCAGCTTCTTAACCTTACCTATGCAAGCCACTCGTGTAATGTAGGGGTCCATGGCCCAGGAAGATGGCTCAGTGGGTAAAGGTTCTTGCCACCAAATCTGGTGGACTGAATTCAATCCCACAGATCTCCATAACAGAGAAAACTAGCTCCAAGTTGTTCTCTGAAAGTAAAGTCAAATAAGCAGGAGGATTTAAATGGTGATTGAAATCTATTGGTTAGTAGTAATTCCTCCAGACCACAAGGGCCCTAATGTCAGACCCCAGAGAGTGCATGCATGTAATTGGTGATGATTTCTTCATCCTAAACAATCTCTGGCTTTCCCTTTTCTCTTTCTATAACTGGCAAGAAGTGACACCCAGCTGCCTTTTTCTTCCTCACACCTCCTTGGTCTCAGATTGCCTTGGAAATGGCCTTTGATTCCCACTTGAGTGTTATTTCAAAACAACCACTTGTCTCAGCGTGGTGACACTCATGTTTAGTCCCATCACTCAGGCTAGCCTGGTCTACAGAGTAAGTTCTAGGCCAGCCAGGGCTACACAGAGAGACTGTCTCAAAACAAAAGGAGAGGATGGAGAATTGGCTCAGCATTCATTTAGAAGACTAAACCAAGTTTAGTTTCCAACATCCAATCCTGAGGTAGCTTACAACAGCCTGTAACTCCAGCTCCAGGGATGTCTCATGCCTCTGGACTCCTTGGGCACGCACATGTACACACACACACACTACCACCACCACCAACACCACATACATGTACGTACATGTACACACACAGACACACAATCTAAAATCAAATTCCAGCCAGTGGCTGAGATGGAAAGTCCTGGGGAGACAGGTGGCTCCCCTTTCTTGAGATGTGTCCCCTCTCCTAGGAAAGCTTTCTCCTCATTTCCAAGCCTCAGATTTCTCACAGTTAGTGTTACTCTGTTTGTGCTGCTGTGGGCTCCACCTAAGAATCATCTTTGGGGACCAAAAGGCAAGAACAACCTTCTCAGAAACGGTGAAGGGTTTCTTTCCTACAGCAGGGTGCCAAGTGGTCCCTATACACCCGGGGGGTGGGGGGTACAACTAGAGCAGACCCGGTCCAAAGTCACATGACCTCAGGCTAAGAAATCTCCTTAGAAGTCCTCAGAGCTTTGTTGCCTGAAATGCTTTGTCACAGAGAAAGCAGACTAGGCCACTCTCTACCCTACCCCGCCCTGACCCATCCCAACCCACATGCAAACCCAGCAGGAATCTAAACAAGGCAGACCTCGCTCCAGGAAGCACGGCTTTCCTGGCCTCTGCCTCTCCTGTGTCTGTTTACAGTTTGTCATTTCTTATGTGGCACACAGGTTCAAATTTGTCATGGTTCCCCTTTATTTTTGCTTATGACTTTCATTTTTCTTCTTTAATAAAAACCCTGGAATATAGCTCTGGAAAGGGGTGCCTGAGGACGGGCACAAACCCTTGGGTTTGCTCCCCAGCTCTAGGCTGGGTAGTGGGAAAAGAAGGTCTTGATCTTTATCTCAAGTTTACAAAATGTTCAAAGGATGGGTTGGGGTGCCTGAGCAAGGCCCTGGGTTTGATCCCCAGCACCACCGAGGAACAGCTGTGCTCTAGCTACTGCTGAGCTGCAGCCTTCTGCAGGGGTTGCTAAGTCTGTCTTTAAAGATTCTTTTGTATTTTACTTTCTTTTGTTATTTTCATTATACATTGTGGGGAGGAGTTGAGGTTGGTTTTCACAGTGTTGCTCTTGCTTTAGTAGAACAAGCTAGGCTTAAAGTTGTGTGATCCTCCTGCCTCTGTCTCTTAAGTGCTTGGATTACAGATGTAACCGTGACTGGCTACTGCTGACTCGGATTCTGGTTTGTTTGTTTTGTTTGTTTTTTTCAAGACAGTGTTTCTTTGTAGCTTTGGAGCCTGTCCTCTTGTAGATCAGGCTAGTCTCTAACTCACAGAGATCCACCTGCCTCTACCTTCGAAGTGCTGGAATTAAAGGCATGCGCCACCACTGCCTGGCCCTGATTCCTCCTCCTCCTCCTCCTCCTCCTCCTCCTCCTCCTCCTCCTCCTCCTCCTCCTTCTCTCTCTCTCTCTCTCTCTCTCTCTCTCTCTCTCTCTGCATGTTGAAGATGTATATGTGTGTACAGGTACACTCTAGAGATTTGATCTCTTTGGTTTGTTTGTTTTTTGTTTTTTTTGAGACAGGGTTTCTCTTTGTAGTCCTGGCTGTCCTGTCCTGGAACTCACTCTCTAGACCAGGCTGGCCTTGAACTCACAGAGATCTGCCTGCCTCTGCCTCTTGAGTGCTGGAATTAAAAGTGTGGGCCACCACTGCCAGAACCTGGAGCTCCATTTTCTACTAGACCTGACCATCTAGGGAGCTTCTGGGATCCACCTGCCTTTACCCCGCAGCACTGGAGTTACAGCTGCACACTGCCAAGCCAGGCTTTTCACATGGGTGTTGGGGATCCGAACGGAGGTCCTCGCGCCTATACAGATGAGTCATTTCTCTGACGTTTTCTTTTACGGGTTGACCTCACATTTGCAGCAATCCTTGTGCCTCAACCCCTAAAATGCTGGCTTCCAGTAGCGTGGCACACACGCCTTTAATCCCAGCACTTGAGAGGCAGAGGCAGGCAGATCTCTGAATTCCAGGCCAGCCTGGTCTACAGAGTGAGTTCCAGGACAGCCAGGACCACACAGAGAAATCCTGTCTCAAAAAAACAAACAAAAACCCTGATTGCTCTTCGGGTTGACGAGGGAGGGGGATTTGATTGGGGGAGGGGGAGGGAAATGGGAGGCTGAAATCTTTAATAAATAAATAAATAACAAAAAAACCCAAACTTTTTTGTCAAATGTAGGTGATGTGTCTAAGGATATGCCAAGCCAGTTGCTTCATTTTCTTCATTGATAAACAATGCAAATAGAATTACTACAAACTACATTGCTATATATGTGTAGGTCACACACCAGTTAGAATTAGTCCAGTCACTTCAACCACATTAATGTTTCTTCCCACCTCATCCCTCCCTTCCCATGCTGTCCAGGGAAGTAGCCTGGTGCTCTGCTGACTCTCCCCCTCCCTCCCTGTTGTTGGTACCCAAGGCTTTGCCCTTGTGGTCCAGTGTGGCGATACCACGTGTCTGGGCTCCAGGCAGCGAATGGGAATGAAGATGATACAGAGGAAATGAGTGAACACTCTCAACGATTCCAAAGGCTGTCACGGCTTACTTCCGGTACTTCTGCTTACAGCCCACTAGTCAGAGCTGGGAGATGAGGTACATGTACCGCGGAATATTTTATGAAATCCTAGGAAAGGGTCTGGGAGCAGGCTCAGTCTACAAAGCACCTGCCGTGCAAGCATGGGAGTCTGAGTTCAGATTCTCAGTACCCACACGAAAAGTCCAGTGTGTCAGCGCCCGTCGCCCGTCTGTGGCTCCAGCGCTGTGGGTGTCAGCCTGCTAGACTTTGTAAAAATGATATGCCTACACTTGAAATAATTTAAATAGTACAATTAAGTTTAAATGGCCCCGTGTCACCACCAAGAAATGAGCAGCACTTACGCCGTCACTCTACGTTATTCTAGAAAGGTCTGTGTGGTTGTTTACAGACAGGATGAAAGGTAATAGCTATTTTATGGCAGTGTCTACTATGGGCTCATGAGATGGCTCACAGGTAAAGGTGCTTGCTGCCAGTCCAATGAGCCCCAGAACACACATGGAAAAAGGGGAAAACTGACTTTTGAAAGTTGTTTCCAACTCCACGGGCAACTGTGGTCCAAAAAAAAATACACACATACATTCAAGAAATATAACAAATATAACTACCAGG